TTTTTCATTTTGAATGACTTTTGAAAATGTGATGAATTTATCTTAAGCTTCATCCTTAGTGCTTAAAAAAAGAACTCATGTGTATATAGAGTAGTCATTAACAAGTACAAAGGCATATTGTTTTCCACCTAAGCTAATATTCTTGATAGGCCCAAATAAATCAATATGTATCATATTTTCTATTATAATGTGGTTTGTGCGAAAAATGAAGCTAGAAATCATACCGCGCGTATTTGGTCCTATCTTTTGGGAAAATGCATTACTATTGATTCTGACACCATTGCCTCTTCTCTAGGTATAGATAACACCGATATAGACAATGAAAATGACTATGTTCATTCTACCTTATAAGTAGGCAAAAGTGATAGTGTCATTGTCTTTCATGAGAGATTCTTGCATTTGATTATCTCTTGGTGGTTTAGACCATCCAGAGGTAAATATTCCTTTCTCTCTAGTGTTGACATTTGGTGGCTTCACTGCTTCTAACATAACAAAAGGATAAATTTTGCCCAAATTGTTTTCAGTGAATTAGTTGACACAGTTAACAATGTTCCTTCTAAGAGAGTTGAGTCTCTTGTTTATGGTTGTCTTCTAAGCCATCACTTTTTCAAAGTTGGTCTCTAAGTAGAACTTGGTTCTACCATCCCTAACCATCTTAATTGATCTTAAATCTCTTCTTTAGTCGGGTTGGGAACAAGTTAGAGACACGTAGCAAAGAAAAGACAAAGGGCAACAAGGTCCAAGCTCCTCTAGAGTGGCTCCATCATAACCTCAAGATGATGACGTGTTGCGAGACGTTGACGATTTGGTGAATCGTATTCCCAACGAGCCTCATTGAGCTGGTGGTGAGGGTGCTAGTTTGATGCCTCTTTAATTTCAATTCATGATGGAGTTGTTGGACTTGAGGTTTGCTTCTATGGAGTCCCATTTTTCTGCCTTGGGGACTCAGGTGCCGGAGATAGCTTATCAGCAGTTGGCACTACAAGCGTTGCATGTGGATTCCCGATGTGACCTTGTTTGATTCGACACGGTGACGGATAGGCTCAACGCTCTCTCTCGAGACTTTGCTTCTTTCTATGCACCGTCTTCGGATATTGAACATCATCCTCAGTCAGATGCCTGATCGTTTTGCTTTGTTATTTGCATTTGAGTTGGTCTTGCACTATCATACTTTGAATTTTATCTTGGATTATTTTATTACACTTTGATATTTTAGATTTGGTATTTTTTTATGCTTTGGATGATTTCATAGATTTTTATGTTATTCAGATGTTTATTGCGATTATTATAATATTTTGGATATTTTAAGACATGTTTATATTGTCATGACCATGCATATTGCTTAAGGATATTGTTTATGTTGACTAACCTATTTGGCAATTTTGATCTTCACAGCCTTGTTAATCTATCTTTTTTTTTTTTACTTTTTGATCCAACAAAAAATGGGAGAAATATTATAGTAAGGGGAAGCATTTTAAAGAAAAATCTTAAAATTTATTAAATGTTTTGTTATATCAAAAAGGGGAGATTGTTGAACATACTTTGATATTTTGATATACCAAAAATGTTAAATAGTTTTAACAACTTTTAAGATTATATTTGATTCGGTCATTCGAATATATAAATTATATTTAAGGTCATAAACTTTATTTTACTCCTCACTCTATTGAAAAATTGAGTTTTATATTAGAAATACCTTTGAAATAATTTTTACTAAGGGTTTCGAACTTCAATCGAGTCAAAAATCTATTTTAAGCATAGTAGTACCAATACTACAGGAACAATATCGATAATGTTCATGAAGTATCGATACAACTATCGATGCTAAAGTCCAAAATTACGCAGTAATACCGATACTATTTGTAGGTTTGACAAAACAAAATGCTATTTTGGTACCGATACTAGCTCAGTACCGATACTACTTTTTATAGTAGTATAAATACTCCACATGATAGTACTGATACTACCCTTTTGTTTTTGAAATTGTCAAATTCCAGTATACTCATTTGGTACCGATACTAGTCCCAATATCAATACTACATATAAGAGTAGTATCGATGCCCCTTGTACCAGTACCGATGCTACCTTTCCTCAATGACTATATTTTTGTATTTAATGCAGGGAGTATCGATACTACAAGCGTCTAGGAAACATTTATTGTGGGAAACTACCTCCTAACGACTCTATTTACTCTCACAATAACCGAAACGGGTAAAATTAATAGAGGGAGTGTAAAAACAAGATTCCAAGTCATATGTGAAGACAAGAGATCAAAGAGAAAGCCAAAAACAACCAATTTGAGCCAAAATCAAGTAAACATTCTTCAACATTCCTTTTTCTTACAAAGAACACTTTTGTACTCATTTGTTTTTATTTCACAAGTGTTCTTATTTGTTCTTGAATTGTGCGAATACATTCATAGTGAGGTTTTTATAAGTTTGCAATTTGTAATTATCTCTTTGAGAGAGTGTCTCAATAATTTAGGGTATAATTCTTGATGGAGTTGTAAGGTTACACTTTATCCTCAAAGGTTGCTACAAATTAGTGAATTTTCGAAAAATTCTTAGTGTGGATAGCTAAGGTAGTGGATGTAGACTTTGGTTTATAAAGTCAAACCACTCTAAATTCTTGTATTCAATTTTTCTATTTTCTTTTCAAGCTTCCACCAAAATTTTTATTTGTCAATTCACCCCCTCTTGGCTATTTCATCCATTCGATTGACTTAACAATATTAATAATGTTTATTATTCACAGTCAATAATAATATTTTTTTTATATATTTTATTTTTTCAAATTATTTGACTAATTTTAATAATAATTTCTTTTTATACTTATGTTTTATAAAATAAGTAATCCTATTTCAAAACAAACAAATCTATAGTAAAAACATTTGGTCGATTGATTATATTGTTCATCTTTATTATCTTTTATTCCTTTATAGCATGATTTTAAACCCACCGTATTACATCTCCCTTCTTAAACAGGATTAAGATTAGATTTAAAAATTTATAAAAAAATATAACTTAATAATTATTTCCCACCATGTGATAATTTATTAACAATGGTACGAATATTTTAAAATGGTACAACTTTTAAAAGTGTGAAAATTGATATAGAATTTAAATCAATTTTTTTATAAATTCTAATTTTAATTTTAATCTTACTTAAATAAAAGGGAAGGAGAAACTCTAAAAAGAAAGAATATTTTTAGGGTAAATTATAAATTTGGTAACTAAATTTTATTTTCTCTCATATTTCACTCACTGTACTTTAAATCTTTTCAATTTTCTCACTGAACTTAATACATCGGGGTTTTTTTCACTCAATCGTTTTCTCACTAATGGTGTTATAAATGAGTTGTTATATAAATGCAAAATGGCGTCGTTTTGGTGAAAATTTATGAGGAGGTTGTTATATTTAACATCTAAGTGACAAAAAAAAACTCAATATATTAAGTTTAGTGAGAAAATTAAAAGTTTTTAAGTTCAGTGAGCAAAATATGAGACATATTAAAATTCAATGATGAAATTTATAATTTACCCATACTTTTAATGAATTTAAAATTAAGAAAATATAAAAAAAAAACAAAGATAAACAACTTAATCAAACACTAAGGGTTCGTTTGTTTCATGTAAAACGGTTTCCGGAAAATGTTTTCCTTATTTTTCCAGTGTTTGGTTTGAGGAAAACTAGTTGGTCGACGTAAAACATTTTCCTGATCAACAGAATTTCCTTTGTGTTTACTGGAAAATGACTTACGGTCTGATTTTCCGTAAGTCATTTTGCGAACTTTTCACTCCAAAGAATAAACACTCAAAATAATTTTATTTTATAAATTTAATATTAATAAAATATTTTAATATCATTTTAATCAAAAAATTAATTATTAAAATATTTAAAATATATTTATTAATATTTCTAATAATATAATATTATATTTTTAATATTATAATAAAATAATCAATTATATTATAATAATATAATATAATATATTATAATTCTATTTTAATAATATATAATAAATTATTAATAAAATTTATATTATTTATTAATTTCATAGAAATAATATTATTAAATTATTAATAATGAATAATATTATTTATATATTTGATATTAATATAATAATCTAATAATATTTTAATAAATACATTTAAAATATACTAATTAATATTTTTAAAATATAATATAAAACTATTACTTTAATAAATAATTAATTTAATATTTTTATTTCAATAAAATATACCAATATTAATATTTTTATTAATAAAGTTATAAAAATAATATTTAATAATAAATTAATTATTTTAATATTTTAAAAAAAATAATATTAAGTTTTATGATAAATAAATATTATTTATTATATTTAATATTTGTAATAAATAAATTTTAAAAATTCATCAACCAATGGAAAATGGTTTAAACAACATCTTCCAAACATCGTAAAAAGTTTTCTAGAAAATATTTTTCAAAAATATTTTTCGAAAAACGTTTTCAGTGAAACAAACTGACCCTAAAGTAATTCCTCGTAATTTAAAAGACTCTTAGGGACTGTTTGTTTGTCTCTTAATGGAATCATTCAGCACTGAATATTGAACCGTTCAACATTCAACGCGTTTGTTTTGCACATCTGAATGATTCAGCAAAACAGTGTTGAATGATTCAACACATAAGTACAATCTAAATGATTCAGAGTCATTATCAAACAACATGTCACATTAGAGCTAATTCATACAGAGCCTCTAAATCATTCAATATTTGAATGATTAAACGCTTAATCATTCTAAAGTAAACAAACAACCCTTAGATTAGGTGGATATGAATAAATTCTTTTACATCTGTCATAAAAATAATGTGCAAGTCGGAATTAGAGGAGGAAAGAAAGGGCATTATCGTCCATCCACCTTCCGCATTATATTGGTCCCTGAGAAAGGCCTTCTCCAACGAATCACCGTCTCCTTTCTCATAGTTTAGTTTTTGTTTTATTATTTTTTATTAAGGCTTTTATTAAGAAACCAACAAAACAAGATCCCCTTGCCGAAGATATTCCCGTTCCTTTCTCCGCGTGAACACTGCCCGGCGCGTGCTCTCCACGCTCTTCAACGGTCCCCGATCACACTTTTCTACACGCTTTCCTTTCTTCTTCATCTCGTGCCTCTCTCACCATTGAAAGGGTTTTAAAATTTTATATCTCCAATCTTAAACCCTAACTAGGGTTTTTGTCTGATTCCGAAGTTTCTGTTCCATTAATTTCATCATTCATAGTATGCAATTTTCCAGCTATCAGAAAATATGATTGAGAAAACAAAGAAACAGAAAAGGGGTTCAATCAGTGAGGAAGACGTCTCTACACTTTTGCAAAGGTCCCTCCTTTATCCCTATTTATTTTTGTAATAATGGGTTTTTAAATTTTGTTTTTGTTTTTTTGTTATCATTCATTTTAGTCTGGGCAGGTATACTGCAACCACTGTTTTGGCACTGTTGCAAGAAGTGGCTCAGTATCCAGGTATGAAGCTGAATTGGAATGCACTAGTCAAGAAGACTTCTACTGGGATATCTAATGCTAGGGAATACCAGATGTTATGGCGCCATTTGGCCTACCGCGACTCCTTGCTGGAAAAATTCGATGATGGAGCTGAACCCTTGGTCAGCTTTTTAGTTTTTCTTTTAAACCTTTGGTATATGTGTTTCTATCTGTTGCCGATGCTAAGGGTTTAATTTAAAATCTACTTGAACTTCCTTATGTGTTTAGGTGTATGCTGAAATGTCTGGAGAGAATTGCTTCCTGAAGAACATATCCCTTAGATTAGTGTACCATCTGGATGTGCATCATTTTAGTATATTGAGATAGTTTTGGTTAATTGAGGTTTATATGTTTTCTAATATCCTAACTTATGTCCGGTCAAATGCTGGTTTTGCTTCGAAATTAAAATCTAGGATTGTATTTAATCCACTGATCAAAGGGCTAAAGTCATGATTCTTTAATAAAAATTAGGTCCTTTTATTTGAAGGATAAGTATTATTGGTGGTTCTTATGGCTGTAGTGTCATTTAATTAACTTTTTATCTTGCAGGATGATGACAGCGACTTAGAATATGAATTGGAGCCTTGCCCTTCTGTTAGTGGTGAAACTTCAGCTGAGGCTGCAGCATGTGTGAAGGTAAGAGAAATAAATGTAATCACCATAAAAATGACAATAAAGGTTTACATCTTCTATCATTTGTGGTTGATGATCATTTAACCTCTTTGGGTTGGAAAAACAGTAATGATAATGAAGAAACTATAATTAATAAGCGACATAGTTAACACCAAATCCATTTTCTGACGTGGTTGGTAGTACCTCTTTTCTGTTAGATAATTGTGTTCAGGATGTTCTGTTCGTTGCAAAAATTTAAACCGGCTAGTTGGTAGGAACTGTTGCTAGTAAAAGATGGTTTTTGACTTAATGTGGTCAGTGCCTACACTGTGACCAGTATTGAATGGTTAATTATAACCTCATGGGAATCAAACAGATAATAGTTTTTGATGACCTGCTCTTCTTTCAAGTTTCACTACTGATTTATCTCTTTGCTCACACCTTTTCCAAGCCAGTCAGTTGAAACGGTTCTTCTTGTCAGGTTTTGATTGCTTCTGGTTTACCAACTGACTCAATTCTTGCAAACAACTCCATGGTAGAGGCTCCATTGACAATAAATATACCTAATTCGCAATCATCTAGAGTATCTTTGGAAAACTCGCAGCCCACATGCTCAATGCGAGGGATGAATATCACTGTTCCAGTTTCTGTTCAGAAACAGATTCTGCCTGCAGTGGCATCGACTGAAACTTTGGAAGGAAATGGATCAGCTGGTGCTAACCTACCTTCTCGAAGGAAAAGAAAACCTTGGTCGGAAGCAGAGGATATGGAACTTATTTCTGCTGTGCAGAAATGTGGTGTTGGAAATTGGGCAAACATCTTGCGAGGAGACTTCAAAGGAGATAGGACTGCTTCACAGTTGGCTCAGGTTGGTTTCCAATATAACCAGGCAACTTGTTTAATTTTGTATCTGTTAACTTTAGTTATCATATCAATCCTACTTTATATGCATTACATAGAAGCAAGTTCACGGTTATTTTTATGGCTTAAAGTTAGTAATTAAGTGATGTAATGGAAGTAATATATTAAAAGTCTACTTTTGTATGTGTTGCTTGAGGAGCTAGAGATTTATGGATTTCGAACTAAATGCATAGTAGTTGTGAAACTTAGTAGATTTGTGAAGCAATTCTGTCTTCCCGTGTTAAATTGCTGCAAGTTGACTTGAAAAGGTTTCTTTTGGTTGATAACATCTACCAGCACTATTTTTTTGCAAGAGATCTAGTCGTTTATATCATCTCTATACTGCTCACCGATTTTGCAAGAGATTCTGTACTCTGATTTTTTCTCGAGTTTGGCATGATCCTTAAATTCTCTATATGTGCATGCTTGTACATGTGTGTTCTTTTTCTTTTTACCTTCTTTTAACTGAAGAACATTATTACTGTGCATAGTTTATTTGTCTATACAGAATTGTGGACATTCTAAATGCTGCTACAAATTGACGGCACTGGTTTTATTTTGGTGTTTGTGTTTCTATATCACTTAGTTTCTTCTTTTTAGCCTTCTAGTTGTTGCTCTAGAATAACACTCCGTTGTTATCTAGCCCGGCCATGATGTCTGGGATTTGCCCAGTTTATCCCGGGTTCAAATCCCGGCAACGGAGTTCTTTCCACTCTGCATATTTTATAATTTTTAACCAATTCTATGAAACCTTGATGGCTATATGTGTCATGCAAATGAAGCGACTATACTATTTGTTTCTCTGCTTTTTCTGCTGCTAATTATGACAAGTTTGTTCTACTATTTGCAGAGGTGGACTATTATTAAGAAGCGACTTGGCAACTCAAATGTGGAAGGAAACTCCACTGTTACACAACTTTCTGAGGCACAGTTGGCAACACGTAGTGCTTTGTCCTTGGCCCTTGATATGCCTGATAAAAACTTAACAGCAGCTTGTACAAATAACCCTGGTAATCTTCTCCATCTAATGTTATTTTTAGTTCTTTGAAGTGTTTAATTTGGAGATATTCTTGTGAATAAATAGTTAAAGGGTCCTATTTAAGAAATGAAATTATGGGAGCCTTCTGTTCTCCTTCCAGTTTTCTTCTTTGAATATGGAAGGCCTATTGTTCTCTTTCTAATAGACTAGCATCGTTGCTACCAAGCCAGGTTTGAAGATCACAACCAGTACGTCTGCACTTCCAACTACTGGTGGTGAAGCTTCGGTTCAAGTGCAAAGCCAGTTCAAACAAGGTTCCATTGCTTCTACCCAATCTCAAAATCATTCTCAACAAGGTTCAATCACTTCTGTCTTGGCCCACAATCAACCTCAAAAAGCTCCAATTATATCCATAACATCCCATAATCAGCCTCAAAAAGGTCCAATTGCATCCGTCCCCACCAAGAGTCCACCTCAGCAAGTTCCTGTTGCTTCAGTCCAAGTCCCAAACCCATCTCAACAAGCTCCCATGACTACAAAAACATCCCCCCAGGGATCATCAATTCCCACTTTAAAATCTCGGGTAAGCTTGAAGAAACCACCAACATATTTTTCCAGTACAGGTTCAATCCTTGATGCCACTGCTGTTGCTGCTGGAGCCCGGATTGGTGGCCCAGAGGCTGCTGCGTCCCTGCTTAAGGCTGCCCAATCTAAAAATGCTATTCATATAATCACTTCAAGTGGCTCTTCTGTTAAACCTCTCAAACCCAGTGGACCCTCTTCTCATTTGGAGGTGCATTCATCTTGTACCTCGCATCCTGGTTCAGTGAAATCTGCAACTCAAAGAGTTGAGCATACTCCATCTTCTTCTTCCTCTTCATTAAATTTGTCGATTCAGCAGTGTAATGCCATTACGTCTAGTCCAACTGTTGAAGGTCCCCCGAAGGAAGAACCGGAAGCAGCTGTAGATTTCAAGGGTCCTGTGTTGGACAGTTTGCCTGTGGAGCATGTGCAAGAAAATGGAGCATGTGAGTTGAAAAATGAACCGGGTGAGGGAGTTAAAGAGCAAAAAGCAGCTGCATCAAACCCGGAATCTGAGTTCAAGAATCTTAAGGCAGTTGCTGAGGATCCGAATGAGAAATTAGTGGTCGAGTGTCTTCAAGTTAATGTCAAATCAGACCTGGTTGAAGAATTTCAAAATGCCAATGATAGTACCATTGATAGTTCATTGATTAAAATAGGGACTGTCAACCTGCAGCCGAAGAAAGTTGCAGGAATCCGAGAACAGTCAAGACATCGGCTGAAGCGTCTCTAAACAATGGATGCACCAAGGATATGGAGATTTTGAGCACAACAGAAACCGCCGAAGGTCCGTAGTGCGACATGGTGTCTTGTGTGACGGTCCAAGTTATTTGAATCTGCTCACGTCAGATGCTTGTGACATCTTTTCTGTAGCAATATACCCATCTATTGAGGTTTTAGTCTAAGTTATTCCAGGAAAATATGTTGCAGATTTAGGTGTATGTTTCTCTTGAATTGTTCAGAATTTTCTGGGGGGGAAATTTTCGGTAGAGAATTTTGATGATCGGATAATATTATAAAAATATTTTCCCCCTTTGTTTGGCTATTCTGTAATTTAAATTTGAACAATACTTGGATAAAATTTATTGTTCAAATCTAATTTCTGACTCTAATCCATGGAAGAGAAGAAAAGAATTAAGAGGAAAATACCTATAATTAATAGGTTAAAATTCTATTAGAAGTCTGTATTATATTTAAAATTTTGTTTGTCTTTCGACTATAAAAGTGAACATTGTACTGTAATTAAAACTTCGTTTTAATCCATTTATTACATTTTGGTCTAAAATAATTAAATTATTATCAGTTGACTTAAATGTTTTAGTTTAAATATTTTAAAATTCTTAATTTCAAACTCGAACGAGTTTATCTCTTTCAAGTTATTCTTTTTTTTTCTTTCAATTTTTACATAATTTTTTAAAATATTTATAAAATCTAAATGCAAGTTAGTATCAACGTAGCTTAGTTCTTGCACCCCTCAATATATATATATATATATTGAATGCAAAATTAATTCATATTCTAACTTCAATCTTCATTATCTTCGATTAAACAATATTATAATTACAAGATAAATAACTAAAAATGTTTAATTGAAAAAAATACATGAATTTTATTAGAGTTTTTAGATTCAGAATGAGAATAAGAGTTTAATTGAAAAAGACAATAAATAATTATAAATTATTAAAAATATATATTTTTATTTAAAAACTATCTAAACATAATAAGCACATGTCATTTACTGATAAAAAAATTCAACACTAAATCATTTTTATTTATTTACTTTCAAAATGTACATTGAATAAATTATTCTTATTTTTGAAAGAGAATAGATTTATTCAACTTTAAAAATGACAGACATGCAATGAGTTTAAATTAAGATATTTAAGCTAATTAACTACAACTTTAATTTTTTTTATCAAAATATTAATTTTTTAAATGTATAAGGACTAAAATAAAATTTCTAATTACAGTACAAGACTTCTAGTAGACTAACTATATGATTAATGATGTAAATGTTACAATTTATGAAGGTGTTGCTTCTACATTAGCACTAGTGAAGGGTAACGTAGTGCAGCAATTAGTAATCACAATCTCTGCCGGCAGAAAGTGTTATATAAAGGGAAAGGGAAGGAGTGGTTTTCATGGATTTAAATAGCGGGCTGGTATCGAATTAGTGGCAGATATATAGTAATAAAAATATCGTCTGAAATATTTATTGTATGATTATGATACTTGCAATGACTTCAGTAGTACACATTCACAATAAACACAACGCAACCGAAAACGTGATAGCAACGGTTTTAACTCAACGGCTTTGAATGCTTTGACGTACTTCCAAATAAAAAAGATCCAAGAGGAATTCTGGACCCCGTCCTTCTTCTAGACTTAACTGATTGAGACAGTGATGATAATAACGACCCAAGTTCTCTCTCCAAGTTGTTCATCAGTTTCTCAACTTCATGCTTAAGTTGTCTAGCTCGTTCAGACCCTGCATTCAATTCATTACAAACCTTGTAGATCTCTTGTTTCATGTTCACAACTTCGCCTTGGAACTTCCCTGCTTGATATCCACTCAGCTCGCCATCACTTACACCGGTCACTATCTCGTTTTCGATGTCGCATAACGATGAGTATCTTCCTTCAACGTCATCTTTCATCGTTCCATTGTTCTCCAACCATAATGTTAACTCGGTTCTTATTTCTCTGAACTGACAATAAACAGGCCGCATTTCGGATTTCAGGTGTTCGGTCGTTCCTTCTTGCTTGCTGCTTCTTTCTCTCAATCTCGGTAACTCGGATTTCAAGTCCTTGACTGAAGCTTGATATTTCTTTATCTGATTCAATGCTGAACTGAATCTCAACCAAAACTCTAGATTTTCCTCGAGCAATTCATCGATATCGGATCGAATCTTCTTTTTCAAGGCCGAAACACGGGAAGATCGGTTTGCAGGTTTGTTGTTTCCTCCCATTTTCTCAGAGGATTCTTTGAATCTTCCATGTGTAGTTGTTTCGAGTTCAACTGCTTTTCTAATGGTTCCAACTTTCTCCTGACCTGCAGCTGAAGGTGATGCCTGAACAGAATTGGTTAAAGTTGATTCCTCGCTCGGACTTCCATGGTGTTCTACTTCGTCTACCGTGTTCCCATACTTGTTTTCATCGAAAAACCCGATTTTTCGGTTTAAAGTTTGAATCTCTCCATCTTTGGCAGCCAATGCATCCTTCAGTCCCCTTATCTGCATTGCCAATTCAGAGAACCCATCTCGGTTTCTCTTATCAACTTCATTAAGCATCTTTGATACCTCCTTATAATTATTGAGAACCGAAGAGTACTCGTCGATCGCGATCTTTTCTCGGCCGTCGTCGAGTCCATCCAAGTACAGCTGCCTCCAGTTCGGTTGCTGTTCTTCGTCGTCGATCTCCAGTTCTTCAATCTCCGTATCGGGTATACTGCTTGTTGTATCAGACAAATATTTCTTCTTTGCTTTGTCTACTTCCATTGAAGCCACATCCTACTGGAATCAATATTGAAGTCATTGCTTGTTTTGGAAGCAACATTGTTTTTCCCTTGAGCTGAAACGTCCTTGTTTCTTAAGGATGATCTCTCGGATTTGTCGTCGGCTTCGGCTTTTACTGATAAATTATCAACACCACGACTTGATTCAATGGAATGTGTTCTGAGGCTGTCAATTTCATCTACAGCAGTTTTTACAAGATCTTTAACTCTACTCAATTCCCCTTCCAACAAGGTCATCCTGCTGTTCGTGAATCCCGGGCCTTCGATCTCAGCTTCCTCGTCTTCTCCGAGGCTCATATTGTGTTCCCCAGCAGATTTCAATCTATTCTCTGCAGCTTTTTCAGAGAAGAATGCGGCTTCCCAACTAACAACTCTCTGTACAAGTTCATCCATCTTCTCTACAAGCCGTAACATCTTATGAGAAGCATTCGAGTTTACATAAAGCTTCTCTTCGATCACGTTCCTCGACACTTCCGAATCATGTTTCTCTTTTTCTTCAACCTTGTTATCAACATTCTTAGTTTGAACATGCTTACTCTGCAGATTTCTTTGTGAGGAACTAATTTTGTTCCTCAGAGCTTCAAACTTCTGAGTTAATTGCTTAATCCTTTCGGATTCTTGACATACTTCGACGTCTCTAGTTTCCATTAGAGTCTGAGTTTCAATATCATCGGTAACGGACCCGACCCCGAACTCGACCTGTAAATTGCATACCCTCCTTTGCTTTTCACTTATCTGATTGTCAATTTCACGGAATTTCTTATAAAAGAATGCCCTTTCAGTTTGCATCTCCGAAATTTCCTTCTGCAGCTCATCGATTTTGCCGAGTGCCTCGTCTTTGCTCAGCGCCGAACTCGGAACTGCATTGGTTTTACTTGAGCCAAAAGCTTTCTTCATCACTTGTCCTTGGCTCCGTAAATCCCTATTCAGAAATCGAACTTTGGCACCGACACTCAATTTGTGAGGCGCAGGGGATTCATCATCTTCTTCTTCTTCGTCAATGGAATATGGAATTTGTTCAGGAAAAACAGTGGCAATGGTTTTTTTGGCAGCTTGAAGATCTTTGGATAAATGATCATATCTTTGGGCTAATTCTTGGTACGCACGGAAACATTCTTCGAGAAAGCTAACGAGCTCTTGTCTTTTCTGGAAATATATTTCTGCCCTTTTTGCAAATGAATCTCCATCATCATCAATGATTTCCAGCATGCTGCACATTTTCTCTTCCATGTCTGTCCATTTTTTTTTTCAACATTCGAATTTCGAATTAGCCAACTAATTTGAATTAAAGAACATGTTCAATTATAAAGAAAAATCAATGGAGCAATGCAATTTGAATATATGATTCCATAACCATAATGAAAAGAAATGGGTTTACCTCGAAGATTCTGTTCTAACCATTTTGATTGCTTCGTCCTAAGGTGGCTTACCCACCACCATGAATGTGCATGGCTTGCAGCTTTCTGCAACGCCATGTTTTGTGTCCCTTAGGAAGGAAAAAGAAGTTACTTCCAAAAAGGGATGGGGTTGAAGATCATCAAGAATCAATGAAAGCCTTAAACTCCATGAAATGGAAGGGACGGTTAGTCGCCTTGATTATGGGTTCAATGCCTCTTTTTATACAAATTAGGGTTTTCCTATAATAACATTAAATAATATTTTCTTTTATCTCTTTCCATGGCGTTTAGTTTTTTCTTTCTTTCCATTTTTCTCATGAAACAAACACAAATTTTGCAAAGTTTTCATTTGGTTGTGAATTTAAAAACTGTTTCAGTTGAATTGAGAACCCGTTGGTTTGATAATTTAATTATATAGGTTGAGCCCAAAATTAGGAAATTAATTAAATTTGGTAAGAAAAACTGAAAATTGAAACCGGTTTAAAGAACTGATTTTTTAATTAAATTTTGATATTTTTTTAGTTTTTAAATATATGTATATATATCCATGATTTTGATTGATATCTATGATATTTGATTTGACGAGTTTTATGAGAACGGCCTATATCGAGACATTTGTGACACATGTATCCCCTCTATGATCTTGATTTGATTTTTATGTTGAGACTGAAGATCATTTGTGTTGATTGATAGGAATTTTACTGGGGCATATGTGAGATTAGGTTCTCCCCTTATGATTAGTACCTGACGACTACGATGACAACATGTGCTATCCGTGTGTTTGTGAGATTAGGTTCTCCCCTTATTGATAGAATTTTTAGAAGTTTGCATCCTAGTATAAAATTCTACGTCCGTCCCTTAGCATGTTTGTGTTTATGAGATTCATATTGATGCTCCAGATTAGCAATATATTATTGAGCTTTGCAAGTTCAATGTTCGAATGTTTTTGTTCCTAGATTAGTAGCTTGAGTTGTTCGAGGAATACTGTCATGGCATGATTTCCAACATCTTACTTTAGAGTATTGTACTGTTACTTTTAGTGTACATGTGTATTCATGGGACTATATTTATGTTGTCACACTCCAAAATT